AGGAACTGATGAAATTAGGGCTAGGGCAGCTTCTAAAAAGACACTGTAAGATCTTAGGCCTTCGCTCCAGGTAGACTGATTGGCACATATAAATTCATTATCAGTAGAAGTCTGAGGGTTTAGACCTTTGGAGCCTAATCAATAGCTATTTACACTTACATGGAACAGCTCTTAACATTTGTGGAAAAGGGGGAACTGAAATGAAAAGGCTTGAAAGCCAAGCTTCCTAGACTAGATTTTTTAAAATCTCTTTTGACAACCCAGAGTGAAATGGCATCCCTTACACTTGAGCTGCAAACTTCTGTACCACTGAGGTTGCTTTTTACCTTAAGTTCAGAGTTTGATCTTCATGCATTTTTTGTTTGTTTGGTGTGTTTTGTTTTGTTTTAAATGTTTTTGCAACTTCCAGGAGCAGCATTCCTGGCTATTACAACAATTTATGCAGAGAGTGGTTCAGGATTTGTGTTGCCGAGTGCCTGTGCCAAAGCTGGTGTAGAAGCAATGAGCAAGTGAGTAATATAGCAAAATGTGTGTTCTGCTTTTCACATCCTTGAGATAGGGTAATTGGTCTATAAAAATGAAGCGAGTTGGTATAGTCCTCCTATTGCATTGTATCATAAGAGAACCTTCCAGCCTCCAGTATCCTAGCAAGAAAATAGTGTATGCTGACAGCTTCTTACAGAAGGAAGTATTAACTGCTATTAATGTGGTGATTTTTATCACAAGGACGAGTGGGTGATTTTTATCACAAGGATGAGATAAGGACAAGTGGAACTACTTCTTTTGGCAATAGCAAGTTCTAAAGTTTCGATTACAGAGTTTCAATAATCAGATTCTCTTGCACTGTCATAGGTAAACCAGCACTTAAAGACAGTAATTAGGGGAACTGTTCGAGGTCTATAGTGCTTTCCACTTTCTTTTGTCTCAGGAAAAGATGTGCTTGTATTTGGGTGGAGTATACTGTTGCTTCACCTATCTAGTTTCATAAAGAAATGTGTTTTCTATCACTGTTTTAAATTAAGGTCTGCAGTTAAACTTAATTCAGAACAGTATCATGTGACGTATCCATGTTACTTGGCAAACAAAGGGATTTTTATCATTATTAACTGTAGGGCAGTCCTTCATAGCAAATGAAGTAGTAGTGTGTACTTTTCAGAGACTTTATGACCCAGCTAATTCATTCACTGTAATAGATGATCTATCTGAAGTACTGCTTATGCAGAGAAAATGTTGCCATAAAGCAAAATTATTCTGCTGGTTTCATTTTAGAATGTAACCTCTGGTTTGTGTTATTTCAAAACATCTAATATGAGAGCGGTGTTGAAAAATGTTAGAAATGTATACTTGTGGGATAGTCTAAATTACCAGAGGAAGATGGTGGCCTAGCAGTTGTTTGTCAAGGAGTTTAGGTGCCAAAATCATCTGTATGATTTGCAAGGGAGAAAGAATTGCTTCTTCCTGTTGTTTTATCTATAATGCATCTATTAAATCAATATTCCTCTGTTTGTGAATGTGATTTTTTTTCTTCTCTGAAATGTTTTTGATAAGAACAAAAAAAAAACCCTAAAGTAAAAATGCCTCTTTCAGGATAATTCTAGTATTTACATATTTGATTCAGTTTAATTTTTTTTTTTTTCTGCATAGCATTATTAAAATATTGTGTTTAAAATACCGATGCATTCTATTAATGAATTTTTAGGTCTCTTGCGGCTGAATGGGGTAGATATGGCATGAGATTCAATGTGATTCAACCAGGTCCAATAAAAACGAAGGTACATAGCATGAAGCGAAACACAGCCTTGAATATGCTTTGTATTACAGGCTTAACTTCAAGATAGTCTAGCCTTTTCTGTAAGTGTTAAATTCAAGTATGAAAGATGCTCTAACCTTTTCTGTAACTGTTAAATTCAAGTATGATTTCCTTGGTAGTCAAGACTGTGCTGGAACACACTACTTCTCAATAATTCTTTGGTAAAATAGAATTTCTTAAGCTTCTGAAACCTGCCACTGCCCCTTCTACTACACTAATATAAATGAAACCTTTTTTTAGTGTTTCAGAGAAATGTTATATCAAAATATTTTATGTTGATTCTTATCAACTCTGTACGTACATAATTTGTCAAGTGAATTCTTGCACTTGTTGGAGTAAAAGTGCCTATTTCTGCCTGAACTCCTAATTTTTAAACAAAACATCTCATCAATTCAAAAATTTCAGAATCTTTTAGGTATATGAGAACAGAATCTTAGTAGTTTTGTTGAAAATCACAAAACTAGAAAGAGAAAAACTAAGTCAGGAAGGAAATGCGAAGCTTCGATATGAGTGAAAAGGAGGACTGGAGTGTTTGAAGGCAGTAATCCAGACCAGCTGGAACAGGAAGAAAAAAGAAGGCAGTCCTGCATGAGGAGAGAGGAGGATCTGTTTCACATTGCACCAAAATATTACAATTATGAGCAGTAACAGCTAATAATAGTATTACTACTACCTGTAAAATATTTCACAGTTGGTTTTGCTGTTGTTCTGGGCGTAGGGGTGCAGGGTTGCTTCTTTTTTCTTTCTTTCTTTCTTTTTTTTTTTCCCTTTTTTCCTTTTGTCAGTATTAGATGCTACACTGGCCAACTGCGTTTTACCTTTTTTGACTGTAAAGAAGGGTAAGTGGCACTATCAGCAGGGTTATAAGAATGTTGAGACAACATTACAGGAGCAGGCCAGAAGTCCTCCAGGCCTTGTATGTGGTGGATTTTTAGGCAAGAGTAGAAGAAAAACTTTTAATGACATTTCTTCTTTACGTCTCCAGCCTCTGGCAGTCTATGGCCCAGGGAGTTTGATAAAGTTGATATCTCTTCATATTGTAATCATCTTGATAGATTTTTTTCTTCCATTAGTTTGTCCTGTTCCTTTTTTAATCCATATAAACTTTTGGCATCCACTATATCACGTGGCAAGATCACTTGGATTTATAGATTCTCATAATTTTTGGCAAGTTACCTACTTTGAATGTCAATATGGCTACCTCCTGTTAACATTTCTGATTTAAACTAATAGCGTATATCCCACTTGAGATACTATGCATTTTTAATAAGGAACATAGTTGTCATACTGGTTCCAAGTTAAAACTTCTCTGAAAGCATAAAATGGCAGACCAGCTTTACTTAAAACAGCACGTTGCAAAATTGAGGCTTTCTGCCTTAGGGGCTACATCCATGCCTTTAAAAACCATGTAAGTCATGATAGGAAAAGGAAAAAGCATACAAGCGCAATACCATTAAGCTTATAAACTGGCATTTAAAAACATGGCAATAGAAGACTTAAACGGCATGAGTACACCCATGATTACCTAAATTACAGCGTGCTTTAACTCTCATAACTTCAGTAACTTAACATAAATAATACATTTCTGATTTTGCCTGAGGAGGTTGTTTCCTTGTGGAGGAGCCAGGAAGAACAGAAAATCTCTTCTGTTTCCCATGCTATTCTAAGCTATTCAAATACTAAAATTTCCAGTGACTTAGTTGAGTTCTAGCCATTGGTGCAATTTAACCGAACTTGATTTTTTTTTTTCTCTTTTCTTTTCAGGTTTAATTACACTGTGTCATGTATCATTTTTCTGTTACTTTCCTGCTCATCTTCTCTCTTTGTTCCTCTCCCGTGTCAGTGCAGCAATTTTGAGTCTTGCTTATTTCCTCAAATGTTTATCAAGGGTGTTTGAGAAACAAAGTTTCTCAACTTTGTTGAGAGTAAGTTTGCAGATGACACCAAGTTGGGTGGAAGTGTTGATCTGCTGGAGGGTAGGAAGGCCCTACAGAGGGACCTGGACAGGCTGGATCGTTGGGCCGGGGCCAACTGTATGAGATTCAACAAGGCTGAGTGCTGGGTCCTGCACTTGGGTCACAACAACCCCACGCAACGCTACAGGCTGGGGGAGGAGTGGCTG